ATTGTTGAGCAATATTCCATTGTGTATATGTACCACATCTTTTTAATTCAGTCATCCACTTTTGGGCATTTGGGTTGTTTCCATGTCTTTTCAGTTGTAAATAAAGCAGCAATAAACATGGGGGTGCAGGTGTCTTTTTGAATCGGTGTTTTTTTGTCTTTTGCGTAGATACCTAGGAGTGGGATTGCTGGGTCATAAGGAGGCTCCATGTTTACCAGTTTGAGAAACCTCCAAACAGTTTTCGATAGTGGTTATACTAGTTTGCATTCCCACCACATCCTCGCCAACATTTGTTGTTGCTAGTTGTTGTAGGGTGTGCCATTCTCACTGGGGTGAGGTGGTATCTCATTGTGGTTTTAACATTCATCTCCCTTATTACAAGTGATGTTGAACATTTTTCATATGCTTGTTGGCCATCTGCATTTCCTCTTTGGAGAAGTGTCTTTTTAGCTCTTCTGTCCATTTTTTGATGAAATTGTTGTTCTTGAGTTTTTAATGTCAGCAATTTATTTAGAGAAAGTATTGAATGTATTTAATATTAAGAACATTTATATATTACTTTTTTCTTTTAGGTTGAGTATGAATTGCAGTGAGATCATCTGTATGTTTAACAATATGGGAAAGATTGAATTTGAGGATTCAGCAAAGTAAGTATTTATAAAAATGGTAGTATACAAGCCTTTAGTGTCTGACAGTTCAAAAGACTGATAATTTGGTTACACTTTTAAGAGACAGAAAATTTATGTACATGACAAAAATGGTGTTTAGTGTAAACATGATTCAAAATATGTAATATATATGTTACGAAGAGCAAAATAGTTTCATTTAAATTCTATGCAAGTTAAAAGATCTAGAAGGCTGGTCAGTATTCAGTGATATGTCAAAGTTATCTTTTTGCAATTCATTCATTTTATCAGCTTTGAGCTCTGATTTTTTGCTAGGAACTATCATCCTACATATGTAATGATTACATATATGTAATGAATATACCTCATAGTATATATAATGAATGGTATATGCAAGCAACAAAGTGTATACTTGCTATTATAATACTATGTGCAGAATTTAAAGGATTATAAAATGAGGGAATGGTTAGTTCTTTTGATGGTAGCAGGGGACTTGGAGAGAGATTTTATTTTCACTCATCCATGAAAAATGAGTAACTTTTGCAAAGGAGGGCAAAAAGAAAAAGGCCTTTTAGCAGAAAATGTATAGACCTGCAAATAAGTTATATTTAGAAATTTCTTTTTTGTAATTTCTGCACTTACAGATTTGATAGTTTAAGTCTATGTGGATATGTAAAAAAGAAAGAAAAATATAATATGAATAATAGTCAGATGTGGGTTAATGACTACTGAATAATATACCCAAACAATTCAGACTAATGGTGATTTTTAGCCTAGGTGGATATTTCTAGTAATTACTCAGGCTTATACACTTTACTGTTTCAACACTTTATTTTTAATGAAAAGAAGTAATAACTTTGATTTAAAATCAGACCTATAAACCAAATCAAATCAAAATGACTTCTCTTGATAACTATCATCCACTACTTATAATCAGATAATTGTACATCAGAGAATGTACAATTTCTTTCTAAAGCTGTTCATTAAGTATGCCTCTTTTGATTTTTTAAAATTCTTGGTTTGTTTGAAGCTTCAAATGGGTAAAAATTTCTTTTTGGGTACTAAAAATGTTTTAAAATTAAATTTTGGTGATAGTTTCACAACTCATTAAATTTAGTAAATATTACTGAAATTTGATTTGATGAATCAATAAAGTTGTTTTTAAAATTTCCCCCAAGACACTTATATAGCTTACCTGCTTTGTTAGTGTCACAGTATTGTTATGTAGAGGTGGATTTAAAAATAATTGTAAAACAATTTAAAGTAGCCGCCTACCTCTATATTTTAAAACAGATGTAATTCCCAAGAAAATGAAATTGGACAGAGTGTTCAAAGGAAATATAAAAAGGAATTTTCTTGTCTTGACACCTACCCATCATCACAAAAGAAAAATGTTGATATATCTGTTCTAACTGATGAAGCCCCACCAGCTCCCTTGCAACAGGAAACCAGTAATGCTCATTTAGAAGCAAAAACCTTCCAGCCACAGAAAGAGGTTGTCGCAATAACATCCCCTAAAACTGTTGCTGCTCTGCCTCAGATGGGATCTAGCCCCGATGTGATAATTGAAGAAATTATTGAAGAAAACCTGGAAAGTGAGTGAAAATACAAAAACTAGTAAATAATATATTGTAATGATATCTATATTTAAAAACAGAATTGGTACTTTCTGTCCCACTGCTTAATAGAAATATATTGCTGGTATATTTGCACACTTCATTCTGGGTTAATGCCTGTTGATCCCATGCCCTTGCTTTCATGTTTTCCAAAGCTAGGATAATTTTTATTTATATTTTTGAATGCAATAATACAGCTAAACTTTGAGGTTTAATATTTGTTATAACGTGGGTATTTGACTGTTCATATCCCATATTTAGTTCTTGTTTAAAAGGTAAAAATGTGTAAAATATATTTAAGGAAGCAATCTTATGACTTTACCTTTAAATTTGAGGATAACTTCTCTTAAATCTTTTCTGAAATATAATCTTAAAATTGAACTGTCGGTGGCCCTCCCTGGTGGTGCAGCGGGTTAAAGCACAGCACTGAGAAGCTAAAGCCACTTCCACATGAGTTTGATTCCTGCCTGCCCCGGAGGTGACCACATGGCGTGGCAGACCTCTCCTGACCTGCCCGCTGCTCCCCTCAGCAGTGTACTTCGTCGATCTGCCTGTTCTGCTCCCCAACTGTCTCTGGTGAAGCCTCTTGCAGCCCCTGAGCCTCTGACCTGTACCCCAGTTCTGTATGCACAAATAAAAGAAAAAAATTTGAACTCTCAGGCTCTCCCTGGTGGCGCAGTGAGTTAAAGCACCACATTATGAAGCTCTTTGAAACTGCTGCAGCACGTGTTCGATTCCCCCGCCAGGGAGCCAACCCACATGGGGAGGCAGACCTCTCCTGACCCGCCTGCTGCTCCCCTCAGCAGTGTACTTCGTCAGTCTGCCTGTTCTGCATCCCACTCTGTCTCTGGTGAATCCTCTCACCCACTACAGCTCTGGCCTGTACCCCAGTTCTGTAAGCATAAATAAATAAATCTTTAAAAAAGAATTATAACACAAATTGAACTGTCATTTATTTTATAACATTTAAATGATTCATAATTATTTGATTAGATTTCCAGTGTTGGTATCTTCTCCATTAACATGAGAGTAGATATAATGTTTAGCTGTTCACCTTTGGGACCAGGTTCAAGATATGTTTGGTTCTTGGGTACCTCCCAGTATTTGTTCTATTGGTTAACTCTCCAAAATAACATTTTTTACTTTATTGAAGTAACATTGGTTTAGAACAATTAGTTTTCATATGTATATCATTATGAATCAAGATCTTTATATAATATATTGTTTCCCATTAAAAATCCAGTGTTACCCTTCACTATACACCTGACCCCTTTTACTTATTTTACTCACCCCACCACTTCTCTTCTAAGTAACCATTAAGTGACCTTATAATCTAAAAGCTTATTTTTGTTTTGTTCATTCATGTGTTTTGTTTGTATATCATCTGAATGAAATCATACCATTTTGCAGACTGAAAATTTGAATACAAAAAATGACAATACTTTTTCTCATCTCAGTGAGTGAGTTAAAACTACTTTTTAAAAAGTATGCCATTGTCAATATAATAGAATTATTATAATTGTTTTATATTTATTTTGTGATGCATATTTCACAGATGATCTTGTGGAAACACCTAGATATCCAAAAATACCTCTTAAGAAAAAGTCGTCTATTCCTTTTGGATCAAAAGCAGGTACTTTCACAACTCTCTGAGCTTAATGTACTACACTGTTATTGATCTTAAGGAAGAGATTAGAATTTTACTGATAACTAAAACTTTTAATACTAAAAAGGTTTGACTGTGATGAAAAAAGATATTTCTGAAGCTTATTACACTTCTCTCAGCTGTCTCCTTATTACGTGTGTTTATTTCTTTATCTTTAGTGTGAATATGAGTATTCTTGGTAATCTATGTTTGATAATTAGAACTGTTTTTATCATCTATGTTGATATGTAACATCTATCTATCATCTATACTTGATTGTCTCCAGTTCTACTCCTCTTGCTTTTGTTATAAATCATCTTATTAAATAAAACATCTACACTATTCAGAATCAATATAGATTTGCTAAAATACCCTGTGAAACTTTTCCCCGACCTGTATTTCTTGCCATTCAGTCCCTCCCCCATTCCAAAGTTAACTTTATGCTTATAAAGATACATTACTTTTCTAATTTTGTTGTTTATTACACAAACCGTAACATACCATACACATTGTTCTGTTCTTATAATTCTTATAATCTGTAGATCTTTTCACACCAGTAGAAAAACTTTGCTTATTTACAACTATATACAAAACACTTCTCACTGTCTTCACTCTACACTTACTCCTATCTCATCCAGAATTCCAGATATGTTTATAAATAAACTCTGAAGCTTTGTTTTAATCCAATTGTTCTAACATATACTCAGACTTTATATTTTAACTACTGCATGAACTGTGATTCTACCTTTAATGTATTTTGCAAGTAAAATATTTTCAGTCTGATCACTAAATAATCCATTTTTGAAACTGGGGCCTATTTACCTGTCTGATTACTATTTGGATTTTTGGCTTTCCTAGATCCTAAGCATTCTACAAGTGGATATTATGTCAGTTTTTGTGGTTTATTAATGTGATTTAAATATTCTTATGCAGGTTCTCCAGAGCTAGTTTTTGTGAGCCATGTGATACATCCCTGTCACTTCTACATTCGAAAGTATTCACAAATAAAAAATGTAACAATATTGGAAAAGAAGGTGAATCAATTTTGCAATAAGAGTTTACACCTTAATCCTTCAGACGATTTGGAGCTAGGTAATAAAACAGTACTCCAATTAAAAGTATCTAGATTGTGCAAATATTATATAATTTGACCAAACCATAGACCTTTTTTATAACAGATTTATACTGTAAACACAAAAGCTCTATAATTACTTAGCATAAGTTAAGTTTTATTTAGCTATGTTAAGCAAATATTAAAACTGACTGTTGAGTGAGATATATACAAAAACTCCATATGGAGTGATATCAGGTTTGTTTAAATTACAAAACCTGTGATGAACTGTATATATGTCCCCTCAGCACCACCAGAAGCTGATTGATCCTCTAAGATGATTCTTCATAGCATGACTAGCCCTTGATGTCTACATGTAAATGTTGAGGATGACATTGAATAATTAAATAATGTGCAGGAAGATGATGGCATCCATTTTATAGGGCCATATAGAGGATCATTGGTAAATAGTCTGACTAAATTTAAAGGTATATAGAATTACGTATGGTATAAAATTTGCCATAATTTAGATTTCTGTTTCAAATATGTTCCCTATAATACTGTTGACTAAGTTTGTATTGTACTTTGCAGTAAGATAAAGTAGATTTAACTTTCTAATAGAATATTTTGCTCATTCTGTTAGTAGCAATCAGTGCACATAAATAATAATAAAGTACTCAATGTTTATGGTATTATTAGTACTTAAAGTCTAACCTTCAGCTCATGTTTGCATTTATCAGTATAACAGACATTTGTGGTCATCATATATTTTTGACAAAAATGAATAATTTTAAAACTTAAAAAGTTTGAGTTATGAGTAGCTAAGAGAAGGTAGTGTTAATTTGTTAACTTAATTTTTATGACTATAAAATATTTCATGACCACAGGATTTAATACATGCATCAAATAAATAGTTCAGAGCATTCAGATAATGTTCTAAGAAAGCCCAAAAACCATTCTTTATTTTAAATTGTTAAGGTTAATTATTTCAAGGTAAATATACATGATTATATACTCATTGCTGTTTTGAGAAGTTGGTTAAAAAGAAATGTGATAGGGGCCTCCCTGGTGGTGAAATAGGTTAAAGAGCAGCACTGTGAAGCTCCCTGGGCAGTCTCTTCACGAGTTTAATCCCCCTACCTGGGAAGTGACCCACATCGCGTGGCAGACCTCTCCTGACCGGCCCGCTGCTCCCCTCAGCAGTGTACTTCATTGATCTGCCTACTCTCCTCCTCACTCTGTCTCTGGTGAATCCTTTCACTGCCCCTGCACTTCTGGCCTGTACCACAGTTCTCAGGTGAATCCTCTCATTGCCCCTGTACCTCTGGCCTGTACTGCAGTTCTGTAGACGTAAGTAAAATAAATCTTTAAAAAAAAAAAAAAAGATATGTGATATACTAGAGCCTCCCTGGTAGCCTAGGGATTAAGTCTCAGCGCTATCACTGCTAAAGCCTGAGTTCTATCCACTCAGAGCTAAACCACATATGGCACAGCAGCCCTCTCCTCCTCATCCACTGTTTCCCTCAGCAGTGTATTTCAATAAATCTACCTGCTCTGCTCCCCACTCTGTCCCTGGTCAATCTTCTCACTCCCTCCCCACACACCTTTGGCCTACATCCCAGTTTTTTTATACAAAGAGATAATTAAGTTAAAATTTTTTCAAAAAGAAAAGTGACATGTTGCTTTAGGAAGGTATTCCCTTGTTCCTTTTTCCTAGTAGTGTTCTTCAGCATAAAGAGCAACAAATGGTGTTTTAAAAGGCTTTTATATATTGCAAGAAACTAAATTCTGTTAAAGCAGAATTTAGTTTAAAACTAAGAATAATGATTATGTGCTAGATAGCAAAGAAAGGGAAGAGTGCATAATCTGAAACCAAAAAAGTATTTTGGTTGCTTGGTTCAATTTAAAGGTTTTAAATTAAATTAACTTTAAAGGTTGCCTTGCTATGCTTCTCAGTTATCCTGTTTTTATTAACATATAGAAAAGGGATTTTAAAAGTAGCATCCTTCTGTGATATGTGACTTAGTCATTGAGAACTGTATTTTAAGACAGTCTGTGTCCTCCTACCACTTCTAACTAACTATATGGAATGGGCTAGGTTTCCAACCTCTTTTTGCTTAGATTCTTTACCTATATGATTGAAGCATTGTTTCCACTGGGTTTGTTTGGGAAGTTAAATGAATTCAAATATAAAACACTGAGAACATTTGTTGAGCTCAGCAATTGTTGAGTTAGCAATTAAATTCAGACCTCATTGTTCTTTGATCTTTTATCCTCATTATTAATATTATTAGATAATTAGTTCATTTGATACCCCCATAAAATGTTCCTCTAGTACTAGATTTTTGGTTCGTCTTCCCTTTCTCTTACCTCCATGGTATATTAATTTGTTATTTTGTCTTTTTTTTAATAATGTAAGTTTATTTTTATTTTGTCTTTTCACACTGTGCATTTCATTGCTTCTTTATGCTTCCTCCTCTTTACCAAGAGAAAGTAATTGCTCACTCCTTTACTCTACCATTTTTACAAACTTCAGTATGTATATAGCTGTACATGTATGTGCATACATGTATTAGGATAGAGGGCCTTTAGTGTCAGTACAATATGCATAGTCACTTGTTTGCCTCACTTTCCTTTTTGAACACCTTCATGACAGGACAGTTTTCTTAATCTTTGTCATGATTCATAAAATATAGGTCCTTAATAAGTGGTTATTAAATAAGCTTATAAATTTCTTTTTATTAGAAACTGTCATAATACATTACCTTTATCTTAAAGCACTTGACTCAGTACTGTGTCTTCAATAAATAAACAGATGCCTTTCAATGCTGGAACTAATTACATGTTCATAAATTAGAACTTACTAGGTATTTTTTCCCAATAAACACTGATAGTGATTTATCATCCTCATTTAGGTGCAAGAATATTTGTCAAGAGTATTGAAAATGGAATGTGGTGTCGAGGAACTATCACTGAATTAATTCCAAAAGAAAGTGAAAATACTAGAAAACTTTGTAGTCCAACCAAATTCTCAGTCCGTGAAGTTGCACGAATACAAATATTCATGGTAGATTTTGGAAATTCTGAAGTCCTAATTGTCACAGGGTATATTTTATAATTATATGTTTCTTCCCTGTTACTTTTATGTGGGGGTGGGGGGAAGGGTAGCAGAGATTGAAGAATAAAGGAAATTAGGAAAGGGGTAAGAGTAATTTATCATTCTTCACTTCCTGAGCATATATCTTTTATTTTACTCTGTAATTTGTATAAATGCTAAATTAAAGTATTATCACTATACTTTGAAATAACTAGATGGGGAGCTAGAAAAGGAACTTTTTGATGTATCCAATTTAACTATTTTTCTATGTTGCTTCAAAGCAAGGAGTGATGCCCAAAATGTTCTCTTAAATAAAGTCATACAGTTAGCTTCCAGATGATTGATTAAAGCTTTAATCATATTTTTAATTTTAGCCATAGTGATTTTTATAATTTCATTAATACATAGTAAAGTGGCATAACTTTTAAAATATTCCATGAAATAAAGTAACTCTAGGTATTCAAAAATGTTTTCCCCAGTCTTTAGAAAAATAAAGCAACTAAAAATGTTTCTGTAGTTAGAACTCGTATTAACTATAGCACCATCATTTAATGTCCATTGAGTGAAGACATTATCCCCTTTAAGTTTAAACTGAGCAGGTATATGAGATAAAGGCAAATGAGTCTTAATATTGTAGATAGAAAGTGTTTGCTTATAAAATTTAGATTGCCTATATAATAAGAAAATATGAATGAGAATATAACTTTCTAGATGAGAATATCCTTAGAAATACATACCTTTTGTAATGGGGAAGCAAGATTAGATTTGAAACATTTTTAATAAATAGGATTTGAATTCTTCTTAGAGTTGGTGATACCCATGTGAGATCAGAACACATTGCTGAGCATCATTTAGTGCTAAATGACTTATGTCTGGTTCTAAGGAAATCTCAACCACACATTGAAGGACTCCTGGAAGACATCCAACCATTAGCACAATTATGCTCATTGAAAGACATTGTTCCACAGAATTCAGTAAGTGGGATTTAAGTCATTCTTCAGAGGCTAAATATTCCTATTTTAACTATATATTTCCAATCAGATTGCTGCATGTACACTCAAAGCATTCATTCTCTTGGAACATACATTTTATATAATATAATGAAAGGAAATGAATTTCAGTTTTCATAGTTGGAAATGTTCTTAATGGGAAATTGAGTTAAATAAGCATATATGAGGGTAAGGATAGGTTGATATCCAAGTAAACAACTAAATTTTTGAAGTTAAATAAACTTGGAGAGAAATATATGATGTATTGAATGTTTATTGTACTTCACTATTTCCATGGCATTGTTCATGTTTTGTTCTGCTTTGTATTTACAAATACTTATTTTTAAATATTCATAGTCCTTACATTATTATTCAAAAGTGAAATGCAGCAATCAATCTGAACACCTTATGGACAATTTGAGACTGTCTTTATAACATCAAGGGTTGATCCATGTACTTTGCATATGTAAAGACTGTCCTTGAGTTTGTGGCATCAGTTGTTTAATGGCTATGTTTAGTTAAGTGCTTTTGCACAATTTTTTAGTCTTTTAGTATTTTAAAGCTAAATCTAGACATTAGTATTTTAAAGCTAAATCTAGAGCATCATACCATTAGAGCTAATTAAAATTACTCAGTACATTGGAAATTTTACTTTTTTCACAGAATGAAGGGTGGGGAGAAGATGCTAAAGTAGAATTTTTGAAAATGGTAAATAACAAGGCTGTCTTAATGAAAGTTTTTAGAGAAGAAGATGGTGTGCTTATTGTAGATCTGCAGAAACCACCAACAAATAAAATAAGCAGTGATATGCCTGTGTCTCTTAGAGATGCATTAGTTTTTATGGAACTAGCAAGGTAGGTAACTTACTAAAACTTTACTATTTTATAATCTAAATAAATAATTTGCCTTTCTGGGATCCAGAGTGAACCTCAGCATACTCTAAAAATAATGCTGGGTTCTGTAAGTACAATTTCTCTAAAAACTGTATAAAGATAATCTGATGCTGAAATTATAGTAACTCAAGGTAAAAGTTATCTGTAGATACTGAACATTTTTTTAGATTCCTGTGTCTTTATAAGCAACTCTCCTAAGGTTTCAAGGGTTATAACTGTTCCTAACTTAAATTTCCTAATCTTTAGACTAAGTTTATGATCACCACACTATATTTAATGTGTGGATCTAGAGTAGATACTAATAAATTTAGATGACTAACATCAAAAATAGAAGATATTTTTATGTCTTGAGCAATTTGATTATTCTATAAGTGACCTAAGTAGCTTCCACTTTGGAAAAATAAAAGTAGAACCTAGAAGCTGGAAGGGGCTGCTGAATCCCTCAGCTGACCTCACTGTACTCTCCCATAAACTTCAGCTATCATAGCAGCTGAAAGAGTAGAAACCTTAAATCTAAGTAGAACATATAGTTCCAGCTTCACACTATCCCAGCACAAATTTGCAGGTTAATTATTGACTTTTAAGACTTGACATCTGATTTAACCTGCTTTGAGAGTTGAAGTTCAAATAAATGTAATATTAGAAGAGGGAACTTGGAATATTTGAGAGAAAAATCAGTACATGTACAAATCCTTTAAATGAAGTCACTGAAAGAAGAAATACTTTAATAAAATAGCTATTTATTCTTTCAATTATGCTTTAATTAGGTTTAGATCACAGTCCCCAAGAAGTCATTCTGGAAAAAATACAGCTTTACACTATCATCCACCTATTTTGCCTAAAGAAATGACTGATGTCTCCGTTATGGTTTGTCACATAAATAGTCCTAGTGATTTTTATCTTCAGTTGGTGAGTATATAATGTTTCAAAAATGACACAAAGCATTTTTTTCAAATATTAAATAAGAAACATGTAACAGAAATGAGTACCCAGTGTGAATTTTAAAGCAAACAAATCACTATCAACATTCTATAAATGTAAGTTTCTTAGTAACTGCAACTTTAAACAAGAGATTTCATGTTTCAGAGTAAATTATAAGAACTCTTCACTAAGCAAGTTAATGAAATATGGAGGGAAGAGAAAATGAAAGACATCTGATGTTTATCTTCTGAAATCAACAGGAAAGTACATAGAGCAGACAAGTCAAAGTAGAATAATAAAACCTGTTTCTGATCCTGTACATCTGAGAATTTATTGATTACTTGATCATTTTCTGAATTTGAACACCAGAGTAGATTTCAGATTAAAAAAGTATTTCATACTAAATTGGAGGTGTGACTGATGTGTTTTAGATAGCTGCTGCTACTAAGAGTTCATTCTTGACTTGTGTCAGTGTTTTATATGAATTAACTCACTCTAAGGAACATACTTTTTATGGGGATTAACTCATTAATATTCACAGCAATCCTATGAGAAAGATACTCTCCTCATTAACATGCAACTGTAGCTACAGGCAGGAAGCAATTTGCCTGAGGTCACACAGCTGCCATAAGGAACCAGTTTCAGAAACTGGACAGTACAGCTTCATTCAGGGCCTGTCAACTCACACACTACAGCACACTATATTGGTGCCAACAAAACTTAAGGAAATCTGTTTTGGGCATTAAATTAGGACAGGCTTGTATTTGTTGACTTTTTGTATTGAGAGAAAACACATAACACAAAACTTTCCCTTTTTAAACATTAAACACTTAATGTGTGTAGTGCCACTAAGTACATTCACAGCATTGTGGTACAACCATCACAACTTAATCATCTGCAGAACTTTTTCCATCATCACAAACAAAAGGTCTGTATCCACTGAACAGTAATTCCCAATTTCCTTCACGTCTCCCCAATACTATGATATATGCTGTTCTACTTCCTTTTTCCATGCCTTGTTATGGTATTGCCATTGTCAGTGAAATAAAAGAAATTATTTTGAAAGGATTATGTGACATTAGCTAGAAGTATGGGACAAATATTGGATGATTACACATTTATGGGTAATATAAGGAAACAATGGATGAACTGACAAAGCAAAATATATATAAACTAGTAAGCACTGATCAACTGACATTACCAGAGGCTAAAGAGGATGCTCGGAGAATGGATTAAGGAAATTAAAGGGATGATAGTATGCTAGTATACATAGCATAGCCACCACCAAAGCATTCATAATATGCCACCATAATCCCTTGTACTCTTTCGCCATCCTGTTTTTGCCCCCCACTCCCCAGTGCCTCAGTTCTGTGGTCTGCTTTCAAGGGTTGATTTAAAAGTTTATTTTTCTCTGACCCTTTGGTTTCTCTATATTCCACATATAAGTCATAGAATCCAGTCACAGAATCCAGTCTATAGAATCTATCTTCTTGGTAGCTTCTGAGTAGAAACACAGAATATTTGTGTATTCTTTTGTAATCTGCCTTATTTCAGTTAGTATATTTGTAAGGTCCATCCATTTTGTAGCATGTATTTGAATTTCACTCCTTTTCATGATTATAACATATCATTATATGTATATACACATTTTTAAATTTACATTTTGTTGATGGACACTTGGATTGCTTGAAACTTTTGACTCATGGACATACTGTCATATGAGCATGGGTGTACAAGTATCTCATTGGAGCGCTCCATTCCTCTTTTGGATGTCTACCTAGGAGAAAAATTTCTGGGTTATATTAAAATTCTGTTTAATTGTTTGAAGAACTACCAAACTTTTCCCAACAGAATCTACATTTTATATTTTAGCAATGTGTAAGAATTCGAATTTTTCCCTGTTCTCACTAACGTTCACTTTCTTTTTCTAATATTAGTCACTTTCATAGGGTATGAGTGATATCTCATTTTTGTGGATCTGATATGCTTTTCTTTAATGGCCAGTGTTGTTTTTTGCATCTTTTTATGTATATATTGATAATCTGTTTATCTTCTTCAGGAAAATATCTGTTCACATCTTTTGTCATTTTTAATTTGGTTATTTGTTGGATTATAGGAGTTCTTTGTGTATTAGGAATAATAATCCCTTATTGGATAAAGCATTTGCAGTTTTTTTCTCCCATTCAGTAGGCTGCGTTATTGCTCTCCCAATAGCATTTTTTGATCTACAAAGTGTTTATTTCCTCCCTCAGTTTCAAAACTGCTGCTGATTATTACTCTCTGTGCTGAGGTTCCCTAATGTGTCCTTTTTAGCTATGTATACTTCTTATTTATAGATGTCTTTAATTTTGAGTAAAAAAATAAAAAGAATACCATCATCTCTTTAAGCTCCTTAACCGTTTCTCCAACCTGCTTCACCTCTAGTAACTTCACTTCAGTTGTCAATATTTACTTTTATTTTGCTTTATCAATTCATCTATAGTTCCTTATATTACTCATAACTGTAATCATCTAATATTTGTCTTGTCTTTCTAGCTAATGTCATGTCACATGATCCCTCAAGATCCTTCCATTTCATTGAAAATGGCATAGCATCAGTTTTCCTTATTACTGAATAGTATCTGGTTATATGTACATCCTCTTTATCCAGTTCTGTTATCACTGGCATGTAGGTTATTTCCATATGTTATTGCAAATAATACCACAATAAGCTTTGTGGTTTGCTGGATCAGAGAGTATACCTTCTTTTCTGAATTTTTAAATATGTATATTTTTAGGTTTTACAAAGTGCCATTGTTTTATCATTATTTTCAAAGTATAGGCTCTCCCCTCCTTCAGAAGCAGTCTCCAATATACACCTACCACTAAAGTCCCCATAATCACCATATCCATAGTCCTGTCTCTCTATCCTGCTTTTGTCCCTTCCACTCACCCTAATGCCTCAATTCTGTGATAATCTTTCAAGGGTTGCTTTAAAAGTTCATCTTTCTCTGACCCTTTGTTTGGTTTCTTTTATTTTACATATAAGTTATACAATCCAGTATTTATCGTTCTCCTCTTGACATAATCCCTTTCATCTCTTTTTATGTTGCTGGCAATGTTATAAGTTTATCTTTTTGATAGTGGAGTAGTATTCAGTTATGTACATGTGCCACATCTTGATCCCCTCATCTGTTTGGGGCACTTAGGTTGTTTCCATAGTTCAGTATTGTAAATAAGGCTATGATAAATATAGCAGTTCAAGACTCCTTTTGAATTAGACCCCTTTTATTCTCCAGGTAGATACCTTGGTGTGGAATTACTAGTCATATGGCACAACCATTTTTGAAAACTGTACAGAGCTTTCAAAAGGGCTGGACCAGTCTGTATTTCCACCAACAGTGTAAGAGGGCTCCATTTTCTCCACACTCTTAACCAGCATTTGCTTCTGAGTTTGATATAAATAGGACTAATTCTTAGAGATGTGAAGTGTTATCTTATTGTAGTTTTGATACATTTCCCTGATGAGAAGTGATGAACATTTTTTCATGTGACTGTTGATCATACATCTATATGTCTTCTTTGGAGAATTGTCTATTTAGCCCTTCTGTGCATTTTTTATTGGATTATTCATTTATTTATGCATACATAATTGGGTTACAAGCCAGAGATGCACGGGCAGTGAGAGGATTTACCAGAGACAGAGTGGGGAATAGAACAGGCAGATTGACGAAGTATATAGCTGAGGGGATCTGTGGGTGAGACAGGAGAGGTCTGCTGTGCCATGTGGGTCACCTCACTGGCCCACGATCGAACTCATGCTGAAGTGGTTGCTGCTAGCTTCACAGTAATGTGTTTTAACCCATTGCAGCACCAGGGAGGGCCCTTGTTTACTTCTAATCTAACTTTTATTATTTCTTCTGCAAACTTTTGGATTATTTGTTGTCCTCTTTCTCATTCCTTGAGATGAGGTTGTTTATTTGGAGTCTTCTTGTTTGTTGATGTCAACCTATATTGCTGTATACTTTCCTTTTAATATTGCTTTTACTGTGTCCCATAAATTCTGGAAGATTGTGTCTTTGTCCTTTCTCTTGTGTCACATAGATTCTGGAAGGTTGTGTCCTTGTCATTTCTCTTTTTGATTTTTTTATTTCCTCATTAACCCAGAAGTCTTTCAGTAGTGTGTTGCTCAGTATTCATGTATTTGAGGATCCCTGATTTTTTTTGTATTTGATTTCTAATTTGATATATTTATGGTCAAAGAATATGTTTGGTATGTTTGGTTATTTCAGGCTTCATGAATTTGTTGATGTTTTTCTTGTGGTTAGTCCTGGAGAATGTCCTGTGTGCACTTGAGAAATATATATTCTGCTTTTGGGGGGTGCAGGACCCATAGATCTCTATTTGGTCCATGTGGCTTAATTTTTTGTTTAAGGCATTTGTGTAATCATTTGCTGTTTTCCTTTCTCCGCATTCTTAGTTTGTGTTAGTTTGACTTTTGTTTCTCTTCCCAAGTAAGCCTGGAATGTTATCAGGGCCTCCTGTCCTGACTCTTGATGGGTTGTTTAGTGGTTATATCTGATAAGCTGGGGCTTATTCCTATACCCAAATTTTGTGGGTCCTGCTCACCTGGCACCTGATAGAGTGGCAGGTAGCTGAGTTTAGAAGCCATAATGGCAGGCCATATTGGCACCTTCTTCATACTTTTAAATTTTATTGACACTTTTTTATGTCTATATATGGTCTGCATTGATTAATAGTCTGTGTGTACCTGAGAAAAAAATATTCATTGTGCTGTTGGCAAAGCATTTTATGTATTTTCTCATATGTGTGTACACACACACAGATATTTACAAATGTTTTCATTATATGTATATAAACACACATGTTTTATATCACAGAAGTGTCTGTTAGGTCTAACTGGCTTTAGTGTTCAAATTCTTGGTTTTATTTTAAATGGTGAAAAAGTTATATTTAGATTAGCCAGCTGAACTCAGTTTAGACAGTCC